GATTTTACTAATCTCAAAAGAGTTTAAATTTAACGATATTTCTCATATTTGATGGAAATTAAAAACTGATTTCTAAACGAGTACCATTCTACCATCGTCAAAACTTTTTAAAGTCTCCAATTAATAAGAAATTATGCGAAAAAATGATACTTTCAAGAAGTGTGTACAAAAAGAGACTTGCAATGGTACGACTGGACAGAAAACGAAATAATGATGCAGTAAATTTTGAACCACCGACAAACAAACTGAAAAAAGTTTCAGTCCATAAGCGAAGTGATTTACTTGAAAAAAGAAAGTTTTTAACAATAAAAAAAGAAATCTCTTTGATAATAGCTAAAAGAGCTTGTTAAAAAATGTAAATTTACAATATTTTTGAGGAGAAGAGTTTGACACGCATCGCTAATTTTATTTTAAAAGTAGGAGATCATTCGCTCTTTTGCGCTGGGATTTTTCTTAAACTTTAATTAAAATGCTTATTCATTTTTGGTTTACTCTGCGAGGGAAATCTTTTAATCTTTTTTTGACTTTGTTTGTTAACTAAATACAGCGTTCCGTAATTTATGGACAACAAATTTACAGTTTATATATACTTGTTACTGTTTCATTTGATGACAGTAATAAACAGAAAAAATTTTATAAAATGTATTTTCGAAAATTATTTAATTATCCGGAAAATATAAAAAAATTTTAAAAATATCCGGAATTCCGGAAATATCCGGAAAAAGATAATTCCTGAAACTTACGGAAGCAATGAATCATTATGATAAAACAAGAATACTGACAAAATATTACTGCTTCATTGGGCTAAGATTTACAATAAATCAAGATTTTTAAAACGTTTGATATCTTGCTTTGTCTTTCCCTATCTATAAAAACTATGGATATTCTTTTGATTTTTTGGATTTGGTGAGATGGCCGTTGAAGGTGCATAAATATTTTGTAATCAATTCAAATTTCCAGATAGCGCCGTTTTAATGTTTAATATATAAAGAAAAGCGCATCAACTTTTATAAAAACAAAAAACGTTTGTTTCAAGATGATAAGATCATTAAATAGTAATCTAGTAAAACCCTGTTTATACTGGATCTTGTAGGTCAAAATTATATGGGGTGCCCAAAAAAAGATTCCATTCTAATAAATCTATTATTAAATTTCTTTATGGATAAAAATACACTTAGTTCTAATACTTTCTTTGACACAATTACACTTTTAAGGCACTTTTTCCAAATAATACTACTTAATTCTAAATAACATTATTCAATTGTTAAAACTGCAAATAAACAGCTTTTATTTTAAAAAATTTTATTGGTAAAAATTGTTGTTTTGAAGTATGGATTTTAAATAAATTTTAAATTATTTCTTAAGCTTAAGATGGTCCTCCACAGAAAGGCAAACTTTTGATAGAAAAACTTTTTTGATTTTTATTTTCACCAAAAATCTGGTTTTATAAACTATTTTAAGAAATCAACTTAAAAAAAAATGTCTCGATTACCCAGTTATTTAAAATAAGAGTGAAAAAACTAGCAATTTTTGTGACAAGCTAGCAATCAAAATATTTATCATATCAAGCTAAAAATTGGTTATATACTAATGATGTATATTAATCCAGATAAGTGAAGCATTTTTATTATTTATAGTATATAAAAGGTTACAACATTTGAAACAAACAGAAAAATTGCTTTTTTTTTTTAATTAAAAAAACAGTTATTTTTTTAATTAAAAAGTACCTTTATTTTTTGGAAATTTCGATTTAGATATGGTCTCAAAGTTACTTTTAATTCGGACCGTAGAGAAAACTTTACTTTTCGGAAATTTCGATTTAGATATGGTTTCAAAGTTTCTTTTAGTTCGGACCGTAGAGAAAACTTTTCTGAAAGATTATTTTCTAAAAAATAATCTTTCACTATTTCAGTTATTTTTATTTCATGTTTTAAGAAAAATGTGTTTCATCAAATTTTTTTAGACTCATTTTGTATTAACTATTGTGATCATATTTTAATGTTTTGGTGGATTATTAAATACATTTATTTTCTAATTGAAAGCCATCTCTTCATCTCCATCACTCAACAATAAGGATTTGATTTAGGGTATGATAAAACCCTAATGGTTTTTAAAATTATCTAAATAAGGATGAGTTCAAACAAAGATAGTTTATCTATGAAAGAACAAAAAGCATGCAAAAGATGTAAACAGGCTGTATGTGCATAAGGGTGTATAGGTGTAATGTGTAAGTCTGTGCTGTTTATGTCGTTCAGTAGAGTCTTGTATTGTTAGTAACCAGCGTAAAAGATTTGTCTCTGAACTAAACCAAGCCAGCCCAGTCAAGTGGCTTTAAATATCCTTCTCTCGTTTGGATCTTTTTTAATTATGTAAAAAATTGCAAAAAAAAATTAGATCAAAGCTTAAACGAGTTTAAAGTTATCATATTTCAAAGATTTGTATTCGAGGCAAATTTTAGTTCTATGGAAACGACAAATATATAAAACAAAAGAATAAAACCATAATAAAAAGTTCATATAAACATATTAAAACCCTCCAGGAATATATTTTGAGTTTTTTCTTTATTAATTTCTTTATTACCTTTGCTAACTAAGCCTTTTCTTTATTATCTTTGTTTAACTAAGCCTTTTTAATTGATTTTAGCTATTTTTCTCTCTTATTGACACGTTCAATGGACTATTGAAGGACCACTTTATAGCTTCTTTATTCTTTTCATTAAGTTTCATAGACGTTACATATCCTGTTAGTTAAAATTTATTAAGTACAAATAAGATTCCATTAGGACCTTCATAAAATTCAATCTCAGACAAATTAACTGCAGATTCAAAGACCCCTCTACCCACAAAAATACGTTTTGGGCAGCGTCTCCAAATAATCTGGTTCAGTGTCTTGTTGGTGTTTTAGTAAATCATCTGAAAATAAATCAGTAAAGGTTGGTTTCAAAATGTTGAAGACTAAACCAAAAATATTTACTTGCTCTACATAAGTATTTTCACCAAGAACTTTCTCTAAATGATATTTGCATCAAGTCTCAGTGTCTCTTGGGCAAATACGGTGTTGACATTCCTTGTCGTCAAAATCTGTACAACGAAAAAACCCGCCTAAACAGCTTTTTTTATAGCATATAAATTGATAATAGATATAATAGATTGTTTCTTATTGCTAGGCTAAAGAAGATCTGCATAGAATTGATCAAAGATTTAGGTAACTTTCTTTTTCTATGTAATGGTGTGTTTATTCCTTTATAAGTTTGTACCTTACGAAATCTAGTGTCCATTCTCTTCTGTTCAATTTATATAAATTCTGCAATAAAAAAATGTTATCAGAATTTTTCTAAAAATTTAGTTATAATCAATTAAATTGCTGCAAAGTAAAGTTTTCAAAAAATTGTGTTAGAGCGTGTCGTCGACAAGACCACATTAGAATGGTAATTTTGCATTCAAAGCATCTATGCAAAATCATAGTTATTATAAAATAAAGTGGATATAAAAAAATAATGCTTTTAAATATAAAATATCAGTGACTTATATAAGCATTTTGAGCAGTTAATTAGAGTTTTGCTCATAGGCTTTTTAAGGGACTCGTTAAACATGGCTAGCCAATAACTCTTCAACATGTAATATAAAAGCTAGTTGTTGGCTAGCCATTATGACGATTGCCAATTGTGGTCCACTATGTAACCAATGAGCCTTTTCACAGTGGAAAAAAAATAGGAAACTCTCAAAATGCCTATAAAAGTCTACTAAAATTCCGCTGTAAAATGTTTGCTGGGAAGGTTGTTTAAAATAACAATTTGCTGTGTGTATTTTTTTCATAAAGTAAAAATTAGTTTAAAAATACTTGAAAAATTTATTACTTTGATTTAAAAAAAGATGTCATAAAATTGTTGTTAAGTTTTTATTTTAAAATAATCAAAAATAGTGTTATTTGTGTATTCAAAATAAGCGGATTTGTTAACTATAAACTTTGTATTAAAAACTTTATTTATTTATTTAAAATTTATTTTCATAAACGTTCAATATATAGTTTTAAATTCTGTAATAAAAAATTTCCCCTGTTTAAATTGATTGTCCGTTTCTTTACCCTGAAAGTCCTATAACACGCCTCTGAGACTTTGAATAATTTCCGTTCAATTTTACAATTATTATTTGCATCAATTTTATTTTTTGGATAAAAAATAGTAAATAAGTTTTATCTTAAAATAATAGCTTAAAAATCATTGCAAAATAGACCTTTCAAATTCATTTATAAGCAAAAACCAGAAAGTTCGATAATGCAACCTGTGTAGTTTCGGTAATGCAACACCTCACAGTTAAAACCAAACTTCCAAAAAATCTTTTTCGTTTCAAAAGCAAAGTTTATACTTTTTAGACATTCGACTTACATTTAAATATTACATCCAGCTAAAAAAATTTTCTTAAAAACGTATATAAAAAAATTTTGTTAAAAGTTTTTTTTTGAAAACCCAAGTACGAGATTTGTTAACTAATATATTATATAAAGTTTACTTGAACTCAAAAACTTAAAAACGCCACAATGATATGAAAAATGTCAAAATTTAGAAATGTGGATTTATTTAGTTTATAGCTTGATTTGAAGAAAATGAATAAAAAAAACATACCAGAATGTCATTTTTATGATCTCATGCATAAACCCTCTTTTTCGATGCATTCGGTAATGCAACGCATTTTTTAGAACAGCTCTTATATTTAAAGTTTTTGCTCAAAATTTTTTTTCAAAAATAACATATCTAAAAAGTTTAGATCTTTCTTATTGGTAATACTAAAAAAAATTTTTAAAATACTGAGCGACACGGCAATAATCTAAAATCCTGTGAGCCGATGACCTTGTTGCAATAACGAACAAAGAACCATATACTGATGATGATGATGATGATGATGATGATGATGATGATGATGATGATGATGATGATGATGATGATGATGATGACAATGATGATGACATACAATTTATATATACACAAAATTAAAATAAATTACTAATTTCTCTGTTCCATAATCTGCTTGAGCTATTGCTGTTCCACTGAATGTATTTGTTTCAACAAAATCAGCTCCAGCCTCAAAATAAGCCTAATTTAAAATTTCATTAACTAAGAATATTATTTCTATAAAAAAAAATTAAATTTGCTAAAAAAACTTTACACATACCTTGTGTATTTCATAAATTATATGAGGTTGAGTTAAACATAAAAAATCATTGTTTCCTTTTAGGTTAAAAGAATGATTTTTGAACTCTTCACCTTAAAAACAATTATATTATACAATAATATGTAACAATGAAATTATTCATTTATATATATAACAAAAATATTATACATTTATGCAAATAATAATGCATATTAAGAAAATAAAATTATACATTTATAAGTAACAATAAAAAAAACCTGATGAAAATCCTAAAAAATTCATTTACTTAATACTTTATAAATAACTTATAAAACTTAAAAAAACTTATTTTATAACTTAAAAGTTGATTAATTATTAACCTTTAAATTCATCTTCTTCAAGCTTGTACTTTTGAATCATTGTTCCCATCCCTCCATCCAAAATCATTATTCTTTTTTTTAAAGACTCTTTTAATTGGTCCATTTTTATCTAATATACATATATTTTTTTTTTGTTATAATTTTTATCTAATAGATACAAAAATATATAAATTTTATCTAATATATATATATATATATATATATATATATATATATATATATATATATATATATATATATATATATATATATGTATATATATATATTTGATATATATATATATATTTGATATATATATATATATATATTTGATATATATATATATTTGATATATATATATATATATATATATATATATATATATATATATATATTATACATATATATATATGTATATATATATATATATATATATATATATATATATATATATATATATATATATATATATATATATGATATATATATATAAGTATATATATATATATGTATGTATATATATATATATATATATGTATATATGTATGTATATATATATATATATATATATATATATATATATATATATATATATATATATATATATATATATATATATATATGTATATATATATATTTGATATATATATATATATATATATATATATATATATATATATATATATATATATATATATATATATGTATATATATATATTTGATATATATATATATATATATATATATATATATATATATATATATATATATATATATATATATATATATATTATACATATATATATATATTATATATATATATATATATATATATATATATATATATATATATATATATATATATATATATATATATATATACATATTTATGAATACATCTATTAGATAATCTATTGTTTTAATTGATAGATTGCCTACCCAAACCAAAACCCTCAGTTAATGTAGCAGCACTCCTCGCATGTTAACCTATTTGTCATTCAATGTAGCAGCATTCCTCCCATGTTTTATCTGTTTGTCAGTTAATGTAGCAACACTTTTTGCAAGTTCTACCTATTTGTCAGTTGATGTATGGAATCAGTAAAAAGAATAAAAATAAAAACATTCAGAATTTTTTTTTTCCAAAAAAATCAAATGTTTTTAAAAACATTTCAGTCTATTGATTGATTTTGTGGTTTTTAAAAACAATAAATTTAGTTAGTTTCCTAAATTAAATTTAATGGTTTTGACATAAGCTGTACTTATTTTTTTTAAATACAAAGAGTTGTTTACATTTTATGTTAAATATATATATATATATATATATATATATATATATATATATATATATATATATATATATATATATATATATATATATATATATATATATATATATATCATATTTATTGACAGGCTCAAAGCCCAATATAATAAATATACAATTGGTAAAATAAAGTGGATATAAAAAAATAATGCTTTTAAATATAAAACCCAGGGGAAAAAAAAAAACTAAATTGTGATAAATATAACTCAACTCTCCATTTAATCATCAATGGAGACTGCAAGAACATATCCAAGTTAACAAAAGCATTTATGACAAGGTTCTGACTATTCTGCAGCAGTAACAATGAAGAGTATTGTTGCTTATGAATAACAACATTAAGTGAATGGGCACCATATTTCACACTAGCACTGTTCCATGGTGGCTTGTTCAATACCAAGCAAAGTGCATTATTACATGCAACATGTAGATAATGAAATGAGTCTTCTATAAAAATACCATAACTGACATCCATAGATTGGGCTGCAAAAAGCATTAAATAACATGATCTTTGTTTGTATTTGTGTAGAGCTGAGCTTTCTACAGATGAGGTTCGCTTTAGCATACATAGAACAGATGTGTTTTAAGATATATTTGTCATCCTGCATATCGTGTGAGATCAAATGACCCATGTATTTATATTAACAAGTGTATGTGAGAATCATGTTAGATAAGGTGAAATGAGGGCTATTTACAAGGGGTTCATAAATTTTAAAACCATTATTTGAGATTTAATACTGTAATAAACTATATCATGCTTCACAGCATAAGTAGAGCATAAGTAAAGTAATATCTGGAGACCTTTGTGTGAGGGTGCACACAGGACAATATCATCAGCATAAAGAAGATTGTTAAGGAGAGAAGGACCCAAGCAGCAGCCAATGGTAGTTTTATTGAGTAGAGCACTCGTTAATATATATATATATTAAATAGAAGAGGAGACAGTACACCTCCTTGACGCACTTCATTACTGATACTAAATGTTTTGGATAATATTCCACTCCATAGGATCTAAGTTGTTTGACCAGCATACCAGACAATGAGTAAGCATAAAGTTACACCAGAGATAATTTTAAATAGTTTCATAAATAGTAAGTCAAATCGAACTCTATCAAAGGCCTTACTAGTGTCAATAAACGCCATATGCATATTTGAGTCATGAGACAGGTAAAAATTTAAAATATCTTTTAATATAAGAACTAGCATAAAAGTGCAATGGTTTTTCTTGAATCGGAATTGATTGGGAGTCCCAGTAAAATATTCATTACCGTGTGAGACAAAAATATGTTCCAAAATCTTGGAGAAATTTTAACCAAAGCAATTGGACAATAATTAGCAGAATCGGAGATGTTATCATTCTTATCTTTAACCACAGAAGAAATAACAGAGTGCAAAGCACCAATATGCATGTGTCCATGGCAAAACATGGAGGAAAAGCACAATGATTAAATATCAAAGTAATTTGGGCTAGCATTAGAGATAATGCTCTAACTGAAGTCCAAAATGGTTAGCTATTTTTCTATAGGTCATATGATTTATGATAGATTGGACTTCATTGGGAGTGACAAGATAGGCATCATCCTTAAGCAGATTACAGTGTTTAACTATAAAGGTATCATTTAAATTGCATGTTGGCTTGACTTATTTAAACAGGGTGCAATAACTATTATACCACATGTGACATACATTATCAGGACCTGATGCAGAGTCAATAGAAGGCAGAAGACTACATATATTGTTGCGAATACAAGTCACAGTAGACCAGAAACTAGTACAGTTTTTATTTGCTAAACTGTTTGCCAAGATATCACATGCTAGAGGTAAATAATCAGATGAACTAGTTGACTGAATTATTTTGAAGTTATTAACACAGCATAGAGAACTTTGGGAGACAAGACAGTGATTGATCAAAGAAGAGGTGCCACATGCTTCATTAACAAAGGTAAAGGAATCATGTGCATGACAGATATCAGCTGTAACAAGATTTTCGTCAGTACAAAAATCAACTAGGAGACTACTACATGGAGACCAAAATCGTGGATCACAATTAAAGTCACCAGTAATAACAAATTTAACATTTAAATCTGAAATGAGCTGAAAGAATACCAAGGCATTCAAGATCCGTATCATCATTCTTATATGAATCACAAGGTATGTAGATATTAATAATTGTGAACTTATCAGAAAGGTTATTTACAAGTTGGATAGTAACAGATCATGAATTATCAGTAGTAACTACTCGAGTCCTGCAGAAGACAGAATCACAGCACAAGATAGCAACACCACCAAACAGTCTACCACAAACGAAACCTGCTGAAGAATCAGTTGGAGACACTCCAAAGCCAAAAAACCCAGGTATATGATATCATATGTTGCAGACAAGAATAGTAGTTCCTGTGTAGAACTTTGTACACCACAAGAATTAAAGCTACAAATTCTTACTGTCATTTTCAAAGAAACAACGCACAAGGCCATTCTCTGGCCATTTGCTACCATCGTAGAGCCTGACAGAATCTCTAGCAGAGACAGATACTTAAAAGGAAGAGTGATACTTACTTGTAACAACTTTGAGACAAGTGGCTTTAGCTTTGAATGTTGTGTTGACAAATTCAGCTAATTCTTTAACAGAGGCAGTTATAAACAAGAAACAAATAGAGAAGCTGTTTTAGAGCAATCATACGAATGAAGTGGTTTCAACGAAGATAAATTGTTTGGAATTTTTCCAGAACCAATAAGCACTTTTTGCTTTCCCTTTTTCTTCAGATGAGTAACAGTTTGGAAATCAATAAGATCCAATACTGGTTGAGAGGTATCATTAGATAAAGAATGACAAGATAAGTGAAAAACATTACTATAATCATTATCATGATCAGCAAATAAGTGTGCATCAGTAATAGAATCATTTGATATTGAATTTAACTCAATTTTTTTAGTTGAATTAGATGGAGAATTGACGTGAGTTTGAGGGTAGAGATGATTGATTTTATATAAGTAGTCGGAAGAAACAACCAGTCATTAGTAGGAAGTTGGGCCTGCTCAACATAAATAAGAAGTTGGGTCTGTTTTTGTTTTTTGTTAATAGATTTAACAGGTTTCCCAAAATCCGTGAATAAATTATGTAACCTTTCACTGATCAACACCATGAATTGATTCGAAAAGATTTTAGCTCAATAGCCATATTATTAACCAGCTCAGTCAGGTACGAAGCATTTATATCAAACTCAACAGAGTGAGAACTAGTTGAATTTAAGTTGTGATTTACATTAATTGGTTTACTTGTGGCACAAAGGTTGAGAATGTCAGCCTGCATGCAGTGTATCTGCTGCAATATTGTAGTGACATCCATGTAATCAGTGTCCACAAAGGGAAGATGCAACAAATCTTTAGCATGAAATTCAGGGCATTTTATATGGATAGATTCGTTTGAAGAAGTAATGTCAAGCATCAGTCTACAGATATCTTGGACATCTTTAATTTTTTATCAGGAGCTTTATGTTTTGACAAACGCTTGGATTTAGTAATCTTTTTAACAAGATTATTTCATGACAAAAGTTCTAATGGGTTGCAAGTTTTAAATTTCTTTGTCAGTAAAGAAGCAAGAGACGATCTTAACCATAACTTTAAAGGGCAAAACATCAACTTTGTTGAAAACATAGCATAAAAGCTCATTAACAATCATAAAGTCTTTGATAATGATGTATCAGTAAGACTATTACAAGCTTTCAAATGTGCATTATTTTTTGATTAACACATCCAAGTTTCTTAACCATTTTCAATAAAACTATAGAGCAAAATAATCAAAGTTAACAATAAAACAAGTTAAAATTTAGTTATCATTATTATTATTATTTATATATAGTCTTATAGTATGCTGCTACAAGGGAGTGTTACTACATCGACTATCTTATAGCCTGCTGCTACAAGGGAGTGTTGCAAATAAAATAAACAAAAATGTAACAAAAAGAAAATTTACATTTTTAATAATTGAAAGACAAGCCGTTCAATCTTTTAATGCAAAAAGATAAAATTTTCTTGTATTTGTTACACTGGAAAGTAGTGTAACGAATACTAAGAAAACATTTAATAAACAAGATTATTTAAAAAGATTATTAGCAATATACTTAAATATTAATAAAATAATATTAGACTATATACAATTAACTGCTAAATTAACATCTGATAAGATTGCTTCTCTTTATCATGCTTACCATTACCTTACTCTAAATTCCATTCTCTACCTCTACAAATCTCTTATTAAAGTTGCATCACTTTCTATTTTCTACAACACTATCATGGTCGCTACTCAAAATATCTGGAAAAAGATAATCTCTGGTATTTGTACCTACATTCTCTAAAAACATTTGTCTAGTTTTCTTCACCGCTCTTCAACCCTTTGGAAATCTCTTCTATCTTCGTTTTTCCTGAGTCATGTTTTCCTGAGCCATACAACCTAGAACTTTTAAAGTCTTTTATCAACTGTTATGCTCTTTAACTCTATACTTTGTTTTCTAATAACTCCTAATCTAACAGTGTTTGCTTGCAGCTTTGTTTGAAGAAAAAAAAAGTACACCATCACAAAAAATCGACTACTTTTATTTCCCCATGAAATGCTTTTCTTTGCAACCTCATGAATAACTCAGATAATAAAAAACTAACTCCAGAACATGTGCAACCTTTGCTTAATGCTTCCTAAAAACCAAACAAAACAAAAAAGAAAACCTGGGAAGTCAAGGACTCCTGAAAAAAGGAAACAACTGAGGAGTTTTCTTTAAATTAATTCTTTTTCAAATTGTTAACTTTTTCTTTTTTTAAATTAAAAAGAGAAAAAGTTAACAATTCGAAAAAAAATAGTTTAGAGAAAACTACTTAATAAGAAAAAAATTGTTTCCAAGATTTTTCATCTTAAAAAAAAAACTTCGGGAATACATTGTCAGAAGATATAAAGAATGAAGATATAGCACAAATAAGAACTAAAATAACTCACAAATAAGAAATCAAATTACTTTTGATATCTCAGGTAAACCTGAGGTATTAAAAGATTTTTATAATCAATATTAAACAGTGTGTATAATACTATATTGGTCAAGTGAAAAAAATTTCTACTGCAAAAACAATTAAATTTTTAAGAAGTAATAGTTTAACATTTATTTTCCTTGATGCTAGTGATATTTCTTTACTGAATACTTAAAAAAATTCCTACAAAGACAGAAAGCATTGCTACTTTTATTTAGATATTTTTTTATAAATGCTACTGTAAAATATTTCTACATACTTTATGGAAAAGAACTATTTATTTATACAATAAAACATTTAAAATAACATAAAAACTTATTTAATTATGCTACTATTTTACTTAGAAGGATTAATACTCCTCTGGCTGAAACTACCTCTAGTGGATTTCATTTATATGAAACTACCTCTAGTGGATTGAATCTACCTCTAGTGGATTTCATTTATATGAAACTACCTCTAGTGGATTGAGGGTTAATTTTATAACAGTTGTAGAATTAAAAAAACATTTTCTTTACTTTATTTTTTATAACAATGAAAAAATTTAATCGCTTTTGGCAATAAATCATTTATAAAAACATGCTTTGTTTTAAATTAAAAAACAATATATAATGGAATTATATGTAAGCAAACTAATCTCAGAAAAAAATACAGTTAAAACCAATTAAAACTTTTTTGCAAGTTATACTTAAGAAAAATAGGTAGCTACAAAATAACAGATTAAAAAGATGATCAAATACAAAGAAAAATAATCAATAAAGATGTAAAGTAGTGGACATAGAGGGTGATCATTTACTAATATAAGATAATCAGTGATAATTATCACCAATAACCAACTGAGTTTTTTTGTGGTTTTATTTCGTTTTTAATATGATCAAAGCATTAGCTTTTTCTCCTACTTCATTTCTATCTAATCCTTTTTTCCTTGCCTTGCTCTAGCAAATACCTGCTTATATCTAATACTCATTACAACTGTTAATAATATCTAATACTCATTACAACTGTTGTAATGGTTAAGAAATCAGCAGTAGAGCAAGAGGATTCGAGATGAGATATCAGAAGTTTGTTAACTAAAGACTCCATGACTGTTAATAAAAAAGTTATATTAAGAATAACAAGAATTAGTTAAGCACTTGTTGAGAAAATTAAAAAGTATTGAAAAATACTTTTGTAAGACTGTGAGAGGAATGTTGTATAATCCATAAGATGTAGAGGAGTAAAAGCAAAAAAAAATTAGCAATGGTAGCTAAGATGATTGGGATGGCTAACAATCAATCTGTTTTTCTGGGATGACAGAAAGAATGTAGTCAAAAAATTTGATTTGAAATGTTATGATTGAAATGTTATGATTTGAAATGTTATGAAATGATATGATTTGAAAATAAAGTTTACTGCAAATAGTTTTCCTTATCATTAGAAGAGGTAATAAGATCAGATCCATGTATGAGAGATGGATTGGTAATGTTTGTCACTAATTTTTTTAAAAGATTTTCTAAAGGTTCTACAACTTTTTAGCATCAACTTATAACAAAGATAAAAAAATGATTGCTATTAATGAAATTTATTTTGTCAATCTTTGCTAATCATGTGACTATTGCATTCTTTGTGCAAACCAAAGATAATAGTCATCAATACAAAGACTCCATGAGTAGAGTCAAGAAGATCCAGCAATTTTAATTCTAGAAAATAACATAACATCAGTCTTCTGATAACAGATTTACATCTTTGACTAATAGATGAAAAAGGTTGGTCAACAGAAATTCTCTGCTTCAAATTACTGGAACAAATTACAAGATACTACTGGAACAAATTACAACGTACTACTCCCAAAAACTACATTAACGAATTACTAGAAATGTATTACTAAATAAAACTAGGGAAAAATTATTGGAACATATTACTGAAATAAATCAATTAAATACATTACTGCTATATATTACTAGAACAAAGATAATTATGTATCTTGAAAAGCGATTTTTTGATAAAGTGAATTATATTTTGGTAAAATAAACTACAGAGTTAGTAACTGATATATCATGTTGATAAACTTAAATTAACTCAAGAGGCAATTAAAACCCCAAAATTAATTTTTTATATTTGTAAAAAGACTTACATCATTAAAAATTTACTATAAAATGCTTTTTAATGTAAACATATCCTAATATTTGACTAACTTTTACTTGGGAGGCAAAAAATCCTAATCATATTAATTTTTGATCAATCAAATGAAAATCTCTAAGCTGACAATGAAGAAGATGAAGGGGAATTAAAACCAATAATAACTGAAGCTAAAATGGATTTAGACATACAAGACCTATCATTTATATAAAGCAGATGCAATTCTAAGCAACACAGCTAGAAAGGAAAGCTATCAAATGGTTATAATAATGTTTTGTTGTTGTTGTTTTAGTTAAGAGAAATAAAAAGTTTTATTTTTAGTCTTTTCCTTATTACTAAGACAAATAATCCATAACACTTAACCTTGTTAAGATATTATCTTAACAAGGATAAGTGCTGTTGCAGAAACCTGGATTAAAAATAAAAAGATTAAAAACCGGAATTGGAGCATATTTTTGCAACCAACTTATTGCTTTGTTGTATTTTTGTATACTTGACGTTACCGTTTTGAAAGACAGGAAAAAACCAAAATTATCGTTTGAAATAAATTCAATGCTGGTGGGGTTAGAAAAACAAACAAAAAAATTTTCTTTTTCTCTAAGCAATATAACAGTATATAACTCCAAAGTTTATCTTCTGTAAAACAAATTATGCAAATCTTTTAACATTTTTAATTAATTCAATTTTGTGGCGAAATCTATCTGGCCTCATTTTTATACATTAGTATTTGTTTATTACATAACATACTCTGTAAACATAAAAAACGTTATAATTGTCAAGTTGAGCAATAATAATAGGCGAAAACAGATTGAGTAGATAAAAATAGTATCTTTGTTTTATTCAATTAATAACAAGAAAATTTGTACATCTGTTATCTTTTGAAATTTTTTTATTTTTTATTTATTTATTCTATCAATAGTAATCGTTAAAATTTAACACTTTAAAAGTCAACTAACTTCTATGAATACAAAGTTTCATTTTATTTTTCAAAAAGCAAGTACATTCGCCATCACTCCGTCTAATCTTTACTTAAATGCTGTTCATTTTTTTAATTTTTTTTTTAGGACAGATTAACAGTCTTTTATTTGAATGCGTTTGCTGTTTATTAATTTTAATGATGTAAAATCTCATCACACGAATTATATACTCTTTAGAGTCGCGTTACCGTATTTTATAGTTTCCAATAAGATTTAAAAAATCATAAAACTCGCAAACCTTTTTACACTTGTATTAACCACGTTTCAGCCATTACACGTTTTTCGTTGTTTTTTATTCTTTTTTTCTCAGAGCCTTAACTACTCCCCCCCCCCCCTGGCGTTCCTCAAAATTTGTCTCTAGGCCAATTTCTTAAACTTGATTTAAGTTTTATAAGGTTAGCACGGATCCTGATAATGCCAACTTAGCTGACCCAAGAACGCTGGTGTGAAAGGTGGTACACATCAAGGTACCCTGTGATTTGCATCACAGGGTACACATCAAGGTACCCTGTGATGCAAATTTTGAAATCTTTTATTTTTGTCCGCAGGAAAAATTAAAAATTTTGACAGAAAATATTTAATTTAAACAATTTAATTTAAATGTCCAAGTTAAGTTTTGACTTTATGGGGCGACAATAAAAACACCTGTAGAATGAGAACCACAACTATAATTTGATAAAGATCGGTGCAAGTGAAACATATGGTCACATCAACCTCTGGATAAAATTTCAGTCGGATTGGTTTTCTTGTTTAGAATTTATGACAGTTTTAGTTTTTATTTTGTTAGTTTTTTGCTACTTGTACTTCAAAACATTATAATTACTGTGATAATTGATCACTATTTTCAAAATAAAAATTGCACGAGTGTTTTACTAAGTAATATCATTGATATTATAATAAAAACAGTTATAATAAAAATTGTTAAACAACTTTTATTATAATTGTTTTATTGCTACATGTAACATTTACATGTACATGTAGCATTTTCATTCTATAGACAAAAATATTGATTTGCTATTTGAAGCGTAATTTGAATTGGTTTACGCATAGCGTAAATATCTCAACCACTGATCTCAAAATATAACTGGATAGCGTATACGGCAAATTTTTTGAAGCCAGTTTTGGCCTCCCAAGATGGCGGCGTATTTGTTTATTACAAATTTAGAAATTTTTGTAACGAACTTTTATATCTTTTTTTATATAAAAATAAATGTACAAGTCTCAAATACAAATATAATTTTTGGTTTTACATAGCAACATTATTACATATTTACGTAAATTTCTAAAATATTTATAATATTTTGTTTAACAAAACATACTCTAAACAGTAAGTTTGTCAGTAAGTTTATTTTATTTAATTTCTAAACAGTAAGTAATTTCTAAACAGTAAGTTTGTTTGTCATTAAATCTTTTTTTTTTGTAAAAAATTTAATTAAATAGGATAAAAATTTTTAGTTAAATTAATTATAAACTAGTTTATTTTAACATTAGTAAAGAGCACACAAAAAAATAGTACCTAAAACCTAGTAGATAAACTACTAGTTTACTCTATATAACTAGTGATAACCTATTATTAATAGCTTATTACTAGTTATAACCTATTAGTTATTAGTTATAACTAGTTATAACCTATTAGTGGAATTAAAATAAGACTCTAGTAGTTATTAACAATTTCTAGACAACTAAAATAAATGTTTGAAATGTGAAAGACTGAAATCATTTTAATCATTTTTTATTTTTATATGATATACAGATAAAAAGTTTATTTATGGTAAAACTAAAATGAAAAGTAAATAAATGGTATACTATAACATTTATTTAGTTTTACCATAAATTAATTGTTTAATATTGCTTTTTATACAATTTATGTACCTTTTAGTTCTTAACTACCCAATGCTGTGTGCTAGAAGGTTAATAACATAACTGCATGGTAGGCAGCTGAATATCTTTTTAAAATAAACTTTTAATTAGTTTTTTAAATAGATATTATAAATTTACAAATGCTGCATGAACTATTAGCTGAGCTCTGTGAGTATACACAACTCAGGGGTTCCTTCTAGAATTTTTTTATATGTAATTATTTGTACATTATTTTTTATTTGGTTGTATTCTTCTAAAATCACTACACACACATATGTTTGTATATATATATATATATATATATATATATATATATATATTATATATATATATATATATATATATATATATATATATATATATATATATATATATATTCTGTGTACTCACAATTCTCAATTAATAGTTCATGCAGCATTTTTACAAATTGGTATCTTGTTACAAAAAATAGAGAATATAAAATTATAGGTAGACATGATTGCTGCTTAACATGCTGTTATGTTATTAACTTTCTAGCATACAGCATTGGGTAACTAAGAACTAAAAGGTACATAAATTATACATAAAACTAAAATTGTAAATTTTACTAATGCCATTTAATAATAAATTCAATTATAAAAAAAGATAATTTTTTTTTTTTTTATTATTAATTATAAAATTCATTATTTTCTTCTGTTTCTTACAAGTTTACAAAAGTTTAATTTTTTTTTTTTTTTTTTTGTATTTTGATAAAGTAAAATATAATATATATCGGTTTTACCGCTAGGAACTAAAATCGCCGCCATCTTGGGAGGCCAATTTTGGCTTCAACTTTTTTCGGAAAAAACAATAGAATCCGCTATCCAGTTATATTTTGAGATCAGTGATCTCAACATTTCTAAAGTATAAACTATTGCCAAAATGTAAAAAAAAGTGCAAAACCTGGAAAAATAACTATAAATTGGTAAAACAAAAAAAAAATGGTTCTGCTAAAAAAAAAATTATTAGCCCTTGAAACCTTCTAAAATACACCGACTTTCAAAATGATTTTAAAAAATCACTACATAAACCCTATTTTTTTACATTACATTCCCGTCAAGTATCATCTGATTAAATTGTAAGACACGATCTTTGATTTTCTCCCCAAGAAATTTATTCAAAGTAGCCTAATACCCCGGTGGGAAATCGGCTAGCGAATAGCTAGCTATAATAAAGTAAATCGTATTGATAAAGACAGCGATTTGACTACATAGATATCGCTAGCTTTTTTAAGTTGGCAAAAAGCTACCAATATTTGTAAAGATAAGACAGCAATTTGGCTACAAGGGCAGCTTGCTTAATAAGCTAAAGACTCACTGGGTGTTGTAGCTGGCGTCATATTGTAATAAAATTGCTGTCTAAAACATTTTGGTATGTAGCTTTCAACCAGCCATAGATTTGTTGATATTTTGTAGCTAGCTACAAAGCTACGATATGTAGCTAGCGACACATTGCTATAAAATCGCAATGTTTAAGTTCAGTTATTCTCATAATTATAATAGACTCAACACTAAAAATCGAATTTTTAAATATGTTAAATACATTAGTAAAAAATAAAATAAGAAAAAAAAAATCGCTTGAAAATTGCTATAAAGCTCGTTAATCGCTCATTTCCCACCGGGATACTCTTTTAGTCAAATACTCTTCAATATTTTTACATGCAATATTAAAATTAATAATGACTAACAACAGTTTAATGATTAAAATGGTTAAAATGTTTATTATGAATCATAAGCTATGATTTTCTGTTACCTAATCTAATAAACCGAATTATGGTAGCAGTTACGCAGCGTATATATATATATATATATATATATATATATATATATATATATATATATATATATATATATATATATATATATATATATATATATATATATATATATATATATATATGAACAAACTATCAAAAAGACTATAGGGTCCCAAGAAGGATTCTTTGCGACTGATGAAATCTTTGATGTGGTAGAATACGGCGTGAGTTTTGGATGTTACGCTTGCACCAGTTATTATTAAGTAACACTTTTTGAAATTTTCGTTTACTTTAGAACTAGAGGTGCGGATCCTTTGTTTCTGAGGCAAGTGCGCTACCACTGCGCCACGGCTGCTAATTGATTAAGTATAAATATTTACCCGGGGTAATTGTAAGTGGAGGCCCGCCAGATGCATAAGCTAGTCAAATAGTTCCATCAGGAGATTATTCTTTATTGGAAATAACTCGAGATGCAATTTGTTCCGCTGCTTTGGCATCTTTTGCTGCTAAAGATTGAAAGTTTTCGCTGAACTTTATTTAAGATTATTGGTGGGGCAAACTTTTTCTTAAAGGGCAGAGGCATGTGCTGCAACGTATATTTTAGTTCTTTCGCAATGGTGGTTTGCTCTATAAGAGGATGTTTTTCTTGCAGCTTTAAACGACTGAGGCAGATTAGGCAATTACTTTTTCAGTAAACATAACTTTTGTGGTGATAGATTAGAACAGCTGTAGCTCCGCTTGCCTCAGAAATTAGAGATCCGTGGTTCAACGCCGCCTTTGGAAAAGTTTTATAACATCAGTAAGGAAAAAGGCGCACTTCTTTCCAAATGCTCTTCCGCTCTGTGAAAAAACCTTAAGGACTTATTGGGGCACCTAAAACAAAAATAATAAATAAATTAAGAAATAACTCTAGGTTGATTAAGATAAATTAAGAAATAAATCTAGTTTGATTATAGCAAAAAATAATAATAATAATAATTTTTTCTGCTTTCTACATACATTGATTCATGAACAATTATAAACTTATATAGCTAAAATAATTTGATATAAACCATTCAAAGTACAAAATACTAAATAAAAAGTAAAATAAACACAAGGATGTATCATACTATTTTTTTCTTCCGGAATAAAAACCCTGTATTTTAAAAACTTGTATTTTTATATAATATTACTAAAAAAAGCTTAGGTTAAAAAATCCGAAATAATTAAGCTACTGGGAATTGTGGTTTAGCATTAATTTAAATTCGCAATTTTTTGCTTCTGGCTGTATATTTTTGACGGCTTAAACTTTTTTTTAAATTATCTATTATTATTAAAACTTTTATAACAGTTTTTAATTATAATCATTTACCTATTATTTAGT